TATATTTATAATAAAGTTATTTAAAAAATAGAAATAAAATTAATAGAGGATAGTGATTCTAGTATAGTAGTCAGATTGTTATCTTTTAAGTGGCAGGCCTATAATGAAATTTGGAAATTAACTTGTATTACGGCAAACTGTCTCTTAACGATCAGTTGAATTTGTATATCTGTAACTTTAAGTTGCACCATCTTAAATAAGAGCTCAGAGAATCTATTCCAAGTGTAACATTATACATATATAGAGGAATGTTAATAACTGATATTGCATAAAACTTTAGTGCAAACCTATAATAAGACCACTAGGCATAATAAACTAAAGAACTGAAGAGTTGAAAACCTACTTGAAAATTTTTAAGTAAAGAGGTAGCATGAACTTTCAATAGTACAATCAAACTGATAAAAGCTTATAAAACACCTCCAAAGAGATAGACAGATAAACTGAATATCAAGATATATAGAGAAGCATATAATCAATCAGGCTGCTGAAATCACTAAAGAAAAAAGATACATAAGTATACCATACTGGGTTATCTGGATTGGAAGTCAGAAGAGTTTTGTCAGTCCTAAGTAGTAGTTAGTAAGAGATAATGAAAAAGATATTGCAATGATAAGTACTGGGGTTCTAGTAAACTTTACAAAAATAGAAATAGTATAATATAGCAGTTATATAGGCAACTCTTGTGACTGCAAGTGTTAGGTAACTATAGCATATTGTATAAAACTAGATTAGTTGTGTATAGAATATGAAAGGTTTTAGTAAGTTTTTTGTCAAAGATAAACTAGTTCTAAGAGTCTTGAAAGCATTAAGTACTTTAGATGGATGTAGTCCAAAAGATGTTCTCATGATTACAAGTCAAATTATATATACAGAGGGTTTAAATAGGCAAGACCCTAGTTGGCTAACAGGTATGGCACCTAGTATAGAACCTGTATAATAATGTATAGATGAACTACTTAAATTAGGCACCAAAAGTGCATATGTGACTAGTTGTAAACTCCTATGTATGGAAGTCTCTGAAGGCATCCATGTCTAAATACTTGAATAAAAAAATTGAACTCTAAAGGCAGAGACTTTAATAAAAAAAAAAAGAAATAGAATTAATTAGTAAAATTTTGAGAATAATAATATTTTTTATAATTTTATTAATAAAATTATGAAAATTGTTATAATTCTTGAAATTTTACTAATTAATTCTATTTTTATTCTTTAAGTAACTTTGTTTTAGATATAAAAATACATCATATCAGTATATATTTATTTTATATTTTTTAAATTTAATTGATGATCTGCCAGTTATCTAAACAAAGATCATAATATAATATGATGCAATCACTATGTAATTTACTATAAAGTAAAATACAATATGTACCTATCTAAAACATTTTTGATACTAAGTTAACAGTTCAAGTTGATTAATTAAAAGTTATAAAGCTTACTGAAATGCATCTAATGATGGTTAAATTATCCAAATCGGTCTAGTAGATATCAAGATATTGTCAAAAAATGCTTAACCAACTATATAAAATTCTATATAAAATTCTATACAAAAAATAGTTTGTTTATATAGAATTTTACATAATTGACTAAATGTTTTTTGATAGTATCTTAATATCTACTAAACCAATTTGGATGATATAACCACTATTTGATGTGCCTTAGTGAGTTCTACAAGTTTTAATTAATCAACTTGAACTGTTAATTTAGTATCAAAAAAAATTTTAGATAGGTGTATGCTGCATTTCACTCTATAGTAAATTATATAATGATCTATATCATATTACACTATGATCTTTGTTCAGATGACTAGTAAATCATCAATTAAAAAAAAGATACTTAATTTTAGATTTTTTTATCAAAAATCTAAAATTAAGTATCTTTTCTTTAGAACTAAAAATTATAAAATAAATATATATCAATATAATGAATTTTTATATGTAAAACAAAATTATTTAGAGTGTGGTAACCTAGTGAAGTAGATAGGTTATCAACCCTCAAGTGGCAGGTCTAAGGTTCAATTTCTACAGACAATGAATTTTGAAAATTATATCAGTGTTATAGTAACTTATTGATTGGTTGAGTTTTGGGCATCTGTAATCTTAGGTACACCAAGTCAGGTCTCACCTAACATTGAAAGCTCAGAGCATCTATGCAAAGTGTAATATTACATGGTACATGTATATAGAGGAATGTAAAACCAGTATCATATAAGGCTTCAGTGCAAACCCACGATAAGACCACTGGGCATAGAAGGCTAAGAAACTAAAAAGATAGAAACTTACTTGGAAATCCTGAGTAAAGAGGTAACACAAATATTTGATGATGTTATTGAACTGATAGAAGCCTATAAAACACCTTTATAGGAACTGTTAGATAAACCAGATGACAAAGATATATAGAGGAACATATGACTAACCAGGCTGCCAGAATCATTGAAAGAAAAAAATACATAAGTATACCATACTGGGCCATTTGGATTGGAAGTCTGGAGAGTCAGTTAGTTCCGAGTTGCAGCTAGTAGAAGATGATAGAGAAGAAGTCAGAAAGATGGATACTAGGGTTTGGGTGAACTTTACAAGAGTAATAGTAGTTTAAAGGGTAACCTTGACTGCAAGTATTAGTCTTAGTCATTGTGTCAAACCAGGTTAGCAGTAAAAGGAAATACAGCTTGCTCTGGTAGGTTTACCTCGAAGATAAAAATAATCTAAGGATTATATTCCTATAGTTAAATACAAATAAAACTAGGTTTGTAACCTGGTGAAATTAATACTAGGGTTAGATCAGAGGATTTAAATAGAACATCTAAGCAGGGATGTTAGGTATGACAACTGGTAGAGAACCCTCAGGCAGACTTCTTAAATAGGTAATATAGAAAAGTTACATGTATAGCAAGTTGTACACTCGTCTAATAGTTCATTATAGATATGTCTATATAAAACATATACCTACTATAAGTATTAATAAAAAGCTCAGACCAAAGAGATCATCTTAATACTGAAAAAAAAAATTTATTTAAAAAATAAAAATAGAATTAATTAGTAAAATTTCAAGAATTATAATAAATTTCATAATTTTATTAATAAAATTATAAAAAATATTATAATTCTTAAAATTTTATTAATTAATCCTATCTTCATTCTCTAAATAAATTTGTTCTATATATAAAAAATATATATAATATTAAACCTAAACATGTTTATGAACTTTGAACTAAACCTGAACTGAACTAAATTTTAAGTTCAGGTTCAGTTCAAGTTCATAAATTTTAAGTTTAGTTCAGATTCATATTCAATGATCTTCAAAATTTGAAGTTCAGTTCAGGTTTAATGAACTTGGTTTATAAATCTAAATTGAATTGAACTAAATCTAGGAACATTAATTTCAAGAAACTTAATAAAATATTAACATAACTGCTTAAGAAAAAAAATAAAATAAAAAATAAATAATGCAATATATAATAATTTTTTTGCATTAGAATTAATTTTATCAATTGTAGTTTCTAAAAAATTTTTTTTTGAATTTTTTAAAAATATTTATAACATAGTTATTCTAAGGTTAAAACTCTAATAAAAGAATTTTATAAGTATTACTTATAAATTTTTTTTACTAAGGTTTCAACCTTAGAATAACTTTGCCATAAATATTTTTAAAAAATCCAAAAAAATTATTTTTTAAAAACTACAATTGATGAAATTTATCCAATGTAAAAAAATTATTTTTTAAAATTTTTTTCTAAAAATTTTTATTATAGAGTAAAAATTTCTATAGTTACTATGTTTTATTTATAAAAAGTATTACGTGTTGCATTATTTATGATTGCCAGAGTAGAATAAACCTCAATAAAACTGAATCTGTCATTATAACAAAATTTTCTTTCAATTGAAATTTATTACAAAAATATCTTAATATAACCAATTTTAAATATAAAACCTCGATATACTGTATAACAAAGGAATTTTTTTACTTATAATATGATAACCTTGATATAATAAATACCTTGATATAACAAAACATTTAACAGTACAGTGAATTATCATGTAACATAAATAATATCACTATAACGAAGCTCCAGAGCTGTATGGGTATTTGGTTCTATATATCAAGGTTTCGATCCATTAAGGTACCTTACCATAACGAACATATATAGCTATATGTATGTACATTCGTTATGATAAAGTACCTCAATGGATCGAAACCTTGATATATCGAACCAAATACCCCAGCCTCAGAGCTTCGTTATATCGAATATATTATAAACTATAATAATAATATTATAAAATATAATAATAATACTATAAACTATAAACATTAGAATTCTTATAAGTCAGGAATAGGAATAGAAATAATCTGATAGGTTTTGGTCGTAGATTAGAATCAGTAGCCGAATAGTAATTAAAGGTAAAACCTGACCACAAGTGTTGATCTCAGTCATAATATAGATCACTAATAACATTCAGCCTAAGCTCGTGTACTTAATAGTGTAATATAAGATACCTTAACACAAAAAAAACAATTTTTAGTTTAATAGCTCTTAATCATCATTAAAGGTTAAAATTAGAATATAATCACATTAATTTATTTATCAATAACTAATAAAAAAATTAATTTTTTATTAAAGGGTTGTACTTTTTAAAAACTATTAGTACTTCGCGAACTTCAAAAAACTCGGTCGAAGTTTATCATTTATGATTCGAAGTTTATCTTGAAAATGAAAAGCTTTCAATTTTATAATTATTATTCATTTAGTGTATAATTTCCGATATAACTAGACCTAACATATCAATTCATGCTTAATCGCTAAATCACCCTTAGGCTCCTAATTTGAAAATGAACACGAGTTTTAATAACTTATAACATTGATATAATAAATTTGGCTGCTTTTGAGTTTGATATTATTGAACAAAAATGAACATATATTTGGGTTTGATTATTATCCCAAATAAAGTATAAATACCGATTCCCAAACTAAATAATAATGTTATCAATGGGTCACAACCCGATTAATCGTCTTCCATTTCCTCATTGAGTGATTCCTATAAAAAAAATTCCAGATATTAAAGAATGAACAGATAAGAAAATTATTGAACTTGATTGAAAAGAAGTGACACCTTTGCCAATCTTTCCGCCTCCGTTGCAATATCATCAGGTACAAATTGATGTCGCCTATTTTCCTCAGTTATCCAGCTCAATTCTAATTCAAACTCCTTATCTTTGGCTTCATCGTGAACAGTATAAATACTACCAATAGAAAAAAGACATGAAATAATTAGTAAAAATATAATTAGTAAAAATATAATTGGTAAAATGATATAGAATTTACAGTGAACCAAACAATTACATCCGCGCAGCTTCTTTAACAGCATCCAAAACGGACATCTCTGCAAGTTTAAGCTTTTCAATTTCCGTTTTCGCTACCTGTTTTCCCTTACCGATCGCACACCCGTGGTAACCCTAATAATACAATTAATAAAAAAGAAACTAGTAACGAAAGACACAAATTATAAAATAACTTGAAAATATCATACCCAGTATACACCAGATGGTTCAACCATAAAAAGTTGTGGGCCTTCTTTATCAACAGTACCGATAATAGCACTGCTACCAAATGGCCGAACGTTTGAATATAACGTGTAGGCCTGTGCATAATGACCTACCCTGTCTGCGATTGTCTATTGAGAAAAACTTGATTTAGATAAATCGTATCGAATATATATATATATAATCATGAAAATGATAAGCTAATAATTGCCTTTCCGGAAATTTGATCTTTATATATATTTCGATAATTCTCGGCCTCATCTCTCGCTCTATTGATAATATGACGACCATCTGCTAACAGACCAGCCGTAGCCTGTTTATGTGCAAAGTGTGAATGTCTGATCCAAAGTAGAAATAAATCAAAAAGATGAAAATTACAAAATGGTTTACCACGCCGATGTGAGTATCGACAGTTTGAATACGGCGGTTTGATCGTGGAACTAGCAATTTTGATTGTACAAGTTTTTCAACAGCCAAGACAACGCCGTCTTTGACCCGTAAGCCAATCGCAGTTCTAAATTACACAGAGCCTTTAAACATGAATATTTGGTGAAATAATAATTAAAATTATGATTTGTAAAAAAATAACAAGTACCCGCTATTATCCACAGCTTTTGCAGCATATTCTACCTGAAAAACGCGACCGTCAGGTGAATAAGTGGACACTGAAAGATCATACTACATACGAGTAAATGCAGAATTAATATGCTTGCAAGATAAAAGCTTATTGATGTCAAGAACTTACACCAGTTCCAATCGAAGTCATACCGAAAGCTATACTATTTTGCTTGATTTAATATCTTAGGTCTCGAGTTCGTCTATTTACTTAGTAGCTTACGTAATGTTCTGTGATGATCTCGACCGACCAACCAAAATTGAGATGTACCTATATAAGACATCACAGTCTGCATATATATCAGATAATAATTTTTTTTTTTTTTTTAATATTAATGGTGAGGCCATGCTTCTATCTTTATTGAATATTTAATTGAGATTTTACATGAAGTACAATTCTGTTTTTAAAATATTATAGAAAGAATAGAAGCTTAGATTAATTTATCTGTGACCTAAACCAATCAGAATGGCCAAGGCTTACTTAGATTTGAGTTAGTAATTATGTATAGAAGATTAGTTTGATATTTAATCTATTGGATATATTAGAAGTTTATTTTTGAACTAATAAAATTGAGTGGAAGAGAATGTGATGAAAGTAAGACAGCATTTGAAGATGTATTATATTCAGAAGTTTGAGTTGTAGATCTTAAGATACAGTATGAGATTTAGATTTTGTAATAAATTTGTTGGTTAAAATGAAGTAGAAACTTGTTAACAAGTGTTGTAGTTACTTTTTTGAATGACAGATTTGTAATAATATCAATAAGTTCATTTGATATTAGACCCATTAGAGTTGAAATGATTAAAGATAAATCTGGTATACTGTGAATAGTTATATTATTCAATAGCTTAATTTGGTTATATAAATTAGTTATAGTATTTGAAGTAGTGTTGAGTGTTTTAGTATTTAAAGTATATTGTAATGAAATATCTATAAGATTGTATAGCAATTGATTGGATAGACAGATTGTCTAGTGGAGATGAGAACTGATTTGATAACATTGTTGACAAGTAGGTGAATATGAATGATATTGTTTGTATAAAATATATAGAGTAGAAAGATCATCTGATAGAATTTTGATTTTAAAGAATTTAAGAATAAAGGACTAAAAGCTGTGTAAGAAGTTTGAGATTTTTTGATTATTATTAATATATAGTCAAGTAGCTTGCCAATTAACTTAGTTAAGAATTTTGTGTCATTTTTGAAAGCAGTTTTGTATAATCTATAATGCATAAATATATGCATGACATATTGTATAGATATTGTAACAGATAGGTAATTCTAAAAGAAAGTTTTCAAAATTTAAAATGTATATAGGATTGTAAATATTGTAAAACATAAAGGTAAGATATAACAAATTGTAATGACTGCATGCAAGTTGGTCTATAAGATTATTATACTGATTGTTCTGATGAGTAATAATTTGGTAAAAAATAATATAAATGTTATATGATTTAATAAAATTAATAAGTGTATTCCATAATAAAAAGTATAGTATGTATGTATAAATTAGAGTATGAGTTAAGTTTGAAAGACTATGATATTTAAAGATTACAGACTGTAAATCAGTATATATGTGTATAGTACAATTTCTAGAAGCAGTAATAAGGACTATTAAGATACTATAACTCTTTCCACTGATCACCAAAACACAAAACTTGCAGAAACAAAAATCGAGACTAACAGGAAAACCACTGTTAAAACTGTGCTTGAAAACTTAACAAAAAAGAACGAGCTACAAAAATAGAACTAGCAAGCAAAACAGCAGAAGAAAACAAGCTAAGAAACAAGTAAAGAAAAGACAAATTTTCCAAATGAACCTCAAAAAGCAAAAATTTTGAGGAAATAGCTTAGACCTGGAATCACAAATCTGTTTGAAACACGTGAGCATGTAAAGAGACAAACAAACAGGCATGTACAAATATAGACAAAGTAAACATGTAAGTATCATAAAGTGCACGTGATTATAAACAAAGCAGCACAGAACACAGCCACAAATAACACAGACAAAAGCAGAAGAGTCAATGACGCTAAAATTGGTAAGTAAAAGAGCAGAGGCAATACTAAAGCTCATAGGTAGCAAAGAATTAGAGCAAGAACTAGCAAATAGAGACAACCATTTCAATGTAAGAGATATAGTAGCAGCAGCATTATGGAAAACAAATTTAATAAAAACAGTAATAATAAGGAAAATATATGAAGCAATAATTAAAATAGACATGAGAGATCCAACAAGTGTAAAAAAATGGGCAGAAGAGATAAACCACACAAGCCAACACCCATTAGCAATACAAAATATGAGAAGCAAAAAAGTCTAAATAGTACCGAAAGAAGAAAACAACACACCAGAATTGTATGTAAAAAAAATGAGACAAAAGACAGAAATGGTAGATGTAATAATGAATGAAAAAGAGATATGACAAAACACAAGTTTAGAAGAGAAAGAGAGACAAAAAAGAAAAAAAAGCAAAGGAATTACAAATACAGAAACAATAAGCATGATGATCGAAGAGACAAAAATAAACAACTATATAAAAAAAGGAATAAAGACATTGAAGACAGATATAATGCAAGAAGACTATAAAGACATCATCATAGCAATCAGAAACCAAGAAGAAACTAAGATAGATGAAAGAGATAGAATCCATAAAACAAAACAACTAAAAAACAAAGATAAGACTATAGAAGAACCACTAGAATAAAGCATATGGTTACCCTCGAACAGAGAATGCAGTAGTGAAAGAATGTATGTAGCAAAAATACCAGCATACAATGTATCAGGTAGTTCACCAAAAGAAAGAACAAAATTTGTTAACAGACTGCTAGTATCTAACAAACATGTTAAAGAGGTTAAAGAAATGTTTAAGAGGAGTAATGCTTGGATTATTGTCACATTCGACTGTAAATATGGCAGAGAAGAGGCAATCAACAAAATTCAAAGAAAACATAATGATTGGTTTAGAATAATTTCAGACATAGATGAGTCAGAAGAGGAAAAGACCAAAAAAGATAAGAAGTCAAAGTAGAAAAAGGAGCCGATAGAAGAAAAGAAGAATAAAGAAGAAACTAAGAGAACAGAAGATAATTTATATAACCAAGGAGAAGAAAGCATAGACAAAGAAAATAAAGAAAACACAGTAGCAGTAACAGTATGAGACCTGCCAAAGGAGATGACAGAATATGAAATTAAGTACCTAGTAAGAAGAATAGGTAAAGTAACAGAATGCAGAATCCAAAGAAGTGCATACAGAACAACAGCAGTAATAAAAGTAAAGAGAGAAGAAGAACAAGCACTTCCATAGGTAATTCCTTTAAGAAATAGAAAGTTAGCAAGAATGACAATAGGTGAAGAAGAAGAGGAAAAGAAAGAAGAAAGAAATCAATTCACAGCAAGACTAATAGGAATACCCAAGGGAATCTCTGAACTAATTCTACTATAAGAGCTCAAAACCAGAAAAGCAATGGCAGTATATATTCCACTGAACAGATGGGAAAGACCAAGGAATTATGCAGTAGTGTCATTTAAAAATCAAGAAGATATGAATATAACTACGAAGAAAAAGGTCTAGTACAATAGAGTCTTGATGTTCTGGGAAGTCAAACCAAAAAGATTAGATGATCAACCTTATAAAGGTAGCAACAAGATACAAAAGGTACAAAAGAAAGAAAAAATAGAAAACCTCGATTCAGAAAAAGAATATACAAACCCAGAAGAGTATATGAAGAGAAATAATTATAGTACAAGACCAAACAATAGAAGAAATAAACAAAGAAATGGAAGCTATCAGAACAAAAGAAATAAAAAAGGAAACTCAGCAAATACAGACCAGGAAGAAGATAGACCAAGAAAAGAAGCTGGAAATATAAGAAAGGCACAAAAGTAGGCATCAGACATGAAAAATATATTAGGCCAAATACTAGAAAGACTAGAAAAATTAGAGATAGCTAGAGAAAGAATATGAAAAGCCCAACCAGATCACTCCTGAAGGTGCCACAGTTGAATTAACAAAAACAGATAAGGAAGTTGAGAATTTTCTGCAAAAAGAAAGAGAAGTTTTTGAAGAAAGAATAGTATTTCCTTATCTAAAAGGAAATGAACACAGAAAAGAAAAAGCAGTTGACACAGAATTATCAAAAAACTAGTTAAAAGAGAAGTAGAAAGAAGGAAAAAAAGAGATAAAGGTAGCATGCCACAATATTAACAGACTAAAAACCAAAGGTTGGAAACTGGAAAATCTGCTCAGCTAGGCAAAAGAAGAAGAAATTGCAATACTGGAAATTACTGAAACAAATCTTACAGTGAGAGAAGAAAAATTCTTACTATACAAAACAACAAAAAGATATATTGGGTTTTGAAGTAGCTTAGCAGAAGACAAGAAAAAGGAATTAGGTGTAGAGTTGCTAATAGAAAAACAATGGGCAAAACATGTAGGCATGGTCAGAAAGATAAATGAATACATAATAGAAACTATACTATACTTTAAGCAAATAGAATTAACAGTAATAGGAGTCTATATACCACCAAGTAACAAAGAAGTAGGAAGAAGCATCCAACAAAAAATAGTTGAAATTATTACAAAGAAGAATAGACAAATACAAATAATGATTATAGGAAACTTTAATTACATAGCGAACAATGTTCTAGATAGGCAGAATCTACAAGCTGCAAACTATAAAAGATTACCATTATTCAGTTAAATAAAAAGACAAGACCTGTACGATATATACAGAGAAATGCACCCAATGGAACAAAGATACACATGGTCAAACTCAGAAACAGCAACAAGAATTGACTATATATGGGTATCAAAAGGACTGGTGTCAGGTCTACAAAGAGCAGAAAATGAGAACATAGAAGAAATCACTGAAAGTGACCACAAGATAGTTATAGCAGAAATATGGATAAGACATACAATCACAAAAAACAGCAAGGCAGAAGTCAAAAGAAAGGGCCAAGCAAAAACAATATATCTTTATAACAAAGTAAAAGAAGAAGAGTGGAAGAGTTATGCACAAGAGATACAGAAGCGATTAGAAATAAAAGAAACTTTAAAAAACATACAAAGGAAAGAACAAGAAGAGAAAGAGAAAATACAGAAAATTAATAAAATATGGGATATAATAGAAGAGGCAATTATAACAGCAGCAAA